TTCCTGCTGCGCCTGTCTCCTAGTCCCCCTGCCAAAGCTGCAGCTCCTTCTTCCTGCTCTCTCACCCATCCCAACCTCTGGCATTTTTGCTCATCCGTGGATGGCTGAATATTCATTTCCTCCCTGCCTGATTGCTGTGAATACCAATTCCTCCTCCTTTTTCCGGCTGCTCTGTAGATTTTGATGTCTGCCAAATTGTTTTCATTCCCTCACCCCGTTGCACGCGGCACCTCCGCAGAAACCGATCTGCTGTGTGCAGAGCCCCAGCTCCCCACCCAGCCCTTTCCTCGGAGCTGAGCGATCGGGTTGCCCTCCTGCCTCCAACATGGACAGGCAGCTTTCTCCTCCTGCAGTCAACAAACGGGTGTCTCCAGTTCAACAGGCAGAATAGTCAGAGGCTCTTGCAAGGAGACTGCAGTAGTTTGCGGTGGTGCTGCGTGGTTCAGTGCAATGTTTCTCAGCTTGCCAGTCTGCAAATTGGTGCCAGGTTGCAGAATCCTGTCCAAAGCAGCAAGCTCCTGGCTCCTAGCTGAAGCAGGATTTTTTCAGGCTGGAGGTATGTTCAGAAAGGCCTGGTGGAGGTGCCTGAATCCATGCTCAGTCATAAACATGGAGATCTGCTGGAGGTTGAAGCTAAGTTAAGCGGGGAATGTTGTGGACAGGGGAGTTTGCTGTTCCCTCATCCCCTAGGAAATCTGTGTGCAATCGCAGAAGGGTGGCAAGGTGGAAGGGGAGAGAACTGCTGACACCTGGTAGCTCTCAGATCTGGATTTGGTGTTTTCATATCTCTTCTCTTGCCAACCAAAGGAAGAAAGGGAGACCAGAGTCTTCCCTTTCTTTCTTTGTCCAATAGACCTGCTTGTGTTACCAAAATGGAGCCCAGAGGCTTCCACTTGCTAAACAGGCAATGGCATCCTGACAGTCACTCACTCCCCACTGATGTTACTGGCACCAAGGGGCTGGTGGGCATGGGAGAGGGCTTCTTGTGTGGAGGTGGGACAGCCTGGCTCCCCTCTTCAGACTTGAGCTGGAGGGGACAGTGGAGAGCGGTGGGGCTGGGCACTGAGCTCTGTCAGTGTTTGGTGCCGGAGCCGTCCATTTGCTGGGAGGGAGCACAGAGCTCATGGCTGGGGAGAAGAGGGAAGAGGAGGGGTGAGAAAGGAGGCATGGGGATGTTAGTTGCTTCAGGATGGAAAGCAATTCCAGAGACAGAGGAAAGGGTGGAGCAAAGGAAGGAAAGGAGGAGCAGGGGGGAGGAAACAAACCTGTAGGGTGAAATAGGAATAATCCACTGGATACTGCTGCAACCTAACTCCCAGGAATGCTGCTCCAACGCCCCCTCACTGTGTGGGGATGTTTGCCTGGTCCCGCACTGCTGTCTGCTCCTCTGCCAAGCCAGCTGGCCTGCCTGGAGCTCTGGCCTTTACAACTGTTGTGAAGAGAGGCAGGATGTGTTTGCTTTTGGCTGTCACGTGCTTTTTTAAAGAGGGTGGGAGTTCATCCCCTTGAATTCCCGGGGCTGGTTTTCCCCTAGTGTCTTTGGCTTATGTGACTTGGGGGGCTCCACAGAGCAAGGCTTGTGGCTCTCAACCAAGAATTTTGTCCTGTCAGCAGCCACTTTCCTGGGCAGTTTCATGCTTGCCAGCCTGGCCTTGAGATGAGCCAAAAGCTCAGCACAGGCACGTGGGATGGGCACGTGTGATACATCATGGAGGTGCCCAGTGCGGGCACCTCTGGGAGCACCTCCCAGACCCAGCATCTGATTCATCTGCATGATGTGCTGTACTCAGGTCAGAGCCTCTCCACCCCCATGCCCAGAGCACCAGATTTGTATGGATCTCAGGCTCTCCCTGTGCTGCTGTTTCCTGATTAAACTGTGAGCTTCAGTGGATCAGATGAAAGTGGCTCTGTCTCCCACTGGCTCTCCAATAGTTGTTATCTTGACCCCTTTTCCTTCTTCCCCATTCTGTCTGTCTAAAGCCAAGCCTCTAATTTTAGACTAAGCAAGATAATTGAGGGTCAAAAAAGATTGCTGTATAATTTTAACATTTTTTGTAGTGGTTGGGGTGGGAGGCAAAGTTAGGAGCTCCTTGCTCTCAAGCCTTTGTATTGTGGGAAAGAAGGACATGGGGGAAGGAATGAGCTGGTACAGTCTGCTCTCTGTAGAAGTTGTTCTGTTTCTTGGCAATTATCTAAAACTAGGAGTGTAAAGGCATAAACTACTGTATTTCCTTTGCAGATCCTATTGACTGAAGAGTTTGTAGAGAGAATGCTGGAAGATTTAGAAGACCTGAATTCTCCAGAGGAAGTAAGGCTGCATCATTCCTGTATCTCCCATGTACTGTCCCAGAGAGCTCATCCCATCCTCCAGCTTGGCTTTGATCCTCCCCTCAGCTCACAGTCCCGCCCCATAGACTTGAAGCTTTGCTAAACCTTCACATCTGCTGTGAACTAAGGCACTAAGAGAAGAGAAGAGAAGAAATACGGGGCAGGGATAGGTATTAAGGGAGACTCTGCATTTTCTTTCCACCAGCATCTTCCCAACATGGTATTTGAGCACCATGAATCAAAGCAGTGTAGCTCCTGGGCCAGGTGGACAGGTTTTCTCCATGCCATGGATAGTGTCCTCAGCAGCACCTCCAGGCACATCACTTTCCCTTCTTTCAGAAAGGGTGAAAGCAGTGGCAGCACATTTACTGCTGAACAATCCGTTGTAGGGACCTCCTGTTTTGAGTTTAGGGACTAGACAGGCTTTTCACAACTGCTATTTGGCCCTTACCTTCTGCCCCTGCATGGCGTGTGGAGGACCATCACCAGCCTGGAAGCTTTGCAGCAGGGGCCAAGGGAGCTTTATAAAGCTTTGCTGTGCAGTGCTAAACTTCCCCCTGCCATGTGGTCTGTTCCTGGGGAACATTTAACACCCTGTCTCCCATGAATGCCATATAAATACTCTGCTTGACTTCAAAGAGCAGTGGCAGAAATGACATGTAATATTTTTAATCCCATTTTTTACAGCTCCCTGCAGACTCTAAAGAAACTTTCCTTGGCTTCTAGAGCAGCTCTCCCATCCCTTGTCCTGCTCTCTGCACCCCTCCCCCCGGAAAAATCTCAGGGCTCTAATTGTTTAATTCAGAGTTGATTTAATGCCAGGATGTTCTTCACTGTGTGAGTGAGGAGAGCACGCTGCTGGCTGTGCAGTGACTTTCAGGCCAACTTTTATCCAGTTAAACCTAATCCAAAGCTCATTTTTGCTAGTGACATGGAAGCCCAGCAGCACTTTGGTTTGAAGGCCCTTTCCTTAAGGCTTTGGACAGCTCAAGTTCCTTCACTCTCTGCTGAGAGGCAGAGGCAGTGGGCATGGCAGCTCCTGGCACAGCGACCGGGCACTCAGTTCTGAGTTACTGTGACTTTGCTGAATTAAAAAGTGAAAAACAAACAAATGCAAAGGATGACTTCTCCAAGAGGATTGCTTTGGAAACACTCCTGTTTATAAAAAAGAAAATACTTGAGATGAAATGTGATCTTTCAGCATCCAGATTCCTTCAAGGATTTGTAACTTGCAGGATCCCATTCTGGGCCAAGTGAAGGCGTTCCTCAGCAGCCCTGCTGTTGCTGATGATATTCATGTGGTAGAACGAAGCACTGCAAGGAGAGTCTTTCCTTTGCTGCATAAAGAGCCATCTGTGTTAAGTGAATTAAGAGTATCTGAGTAAGAGATCTGAGTATCTTTAACATGTTTTCCCATACATTAGATATTGTACTTGGAAGAATCCCCTGGGAAGTGTAGGGCCACTAGATTATATGGTGCAAGATATACTCAAAGCTTGAGTTAAAAAAAAAAAAGAACCATAAGTGGAAATTGAGTTGTCGATGTTTCCTAGAGGATAATGAGTGGGAGTTTATGGTAGCTACTATCCTAAACAATCCTGCCCTGCCCTCAGATCATGGGTCAGACCCTGAACCACTGACCCAACGTACCAATAGGTACTAAATGCAGATGGAGGAAAGTCAGGAGCAAATTCATGTTGGAATGTCCTTGCTGTGGAGCAGGCAGCTGGAAAGGACCTCTTTTAGCAGGAACCTGCCACTGGGTGTGTGTTAACTTCCTTCAGAAATGGGGCACTTAGGGGAAGACAGACAAATAATTGGATAAAGATGGATGATTCACAGGTCACTGTCCCCTTGCACCAACTCTCTAATTTATGTAGCCCCTGAGAAGCTTATGGTGCTCCTGGCCTTGGTCTGAGGATTCTCTTAGGACAGAACCCCTGTATCTATAACTGTTCTGAATTAGCTGCCTCCAGGTCAGATTGTCACTGGTGGTGTGGGATCCCAGTGAGATTCCTCCTCCTGATACTATTACAATGTCAGGCAGTGCTACACTGTGGGTGTGCAGAGTTTTAAAAACAACATGGTCCTGCAAACTGGTTTCCAGAGCTGTCCCCCACATATTTTGGACCCTTAGGCTGGGCACTGGGTTTACATGAAATACTTGTGCAGAACTGGTTGCCGTCCAGCTGTGGATGGGGCAGATGTGTAGCCTAAGAGATTCCACCCCCTACTTCCCACACCCTCCACAGAGCCGTGTTTGAGATGTGTGTGAATGCATGGGCCGTGCTCAAACGTAGTTGTGAGAAGGGTTGGTGATAAGGCTTCTTGTAGCTCTGTCCCTACATGGTTGTGTTTGGGATCAGAGATTTTGGGATGACTTCCCAGCCAAAGGCAGGTGCCCTGGAGCAACATCAGGATGGGACCAGTACACTTGCCTTGTTTGGGAAACACTGGCCAGAGACAGTGCTGTGTAAACCAGACTGGGGCAAAAAAATCTCCGTTCCCTGTGCTTCAGTCAGTGTTTGCAAAACAGCCTGAGCAGCCAAGCCATGTGAATGTGAGGCGTTGTACGGGCACTCTGCAAAGCCTTTGTACCAAACGTGGCCAGGACTGGAGCAGAAAAGCTCTTCAGGCATGCTGGCTTTCCCTAGCCAGGGCAGCACTGCTTGCCCTTCTGGGAGTGGTGGCCATTTGCAAGCCTGTCACCCAGCAGAGCCATGCTAGCTCACGTGCCTTCCACCCTCTATGAGCAAGAGCTTGAGAACTGCCCTAAGTCTCCCTTTAAAGCAAACAGGGGGCCCTAGGGGCTGGGGTAGGTGAAAGGAAAGGGTCGTGGACAGGTAGGAGGAAAGGTGGTTGTGCTGTGAACTTCCAGAGAGGTCAGGGAGGGGAAATGGTGATGGGGGCAGAAAGCCTCCAGAATCTGTCTGATGAAATAAACAGCGCTTGGGGTGAAATCTCAGAACTTTACTTTGGCAGCTGAGGCACAGGCCACGTTATCTAATGTCCAGTGCTGTCCAAAACATACTGGTGGGGAAATGTTTTCTTAGTGGCCTCTTGTTTTAAAAAATAATAATAACATGGAGCTGCCTGCCTTTGCAATTATTTTGTTTTTTCTGTGGGTTAGGTTGCAGGGATATACATTAACTGGTTCTCTTTACTATCTTACAGTTTAAACTTCCAAAGGAGTACAGCTGGCCTGAAAAGAAACTGAAAGTTTCCATCTTGCCAGATGCTGTGTTCGACAACCCGCTGCATTAGAGCTGAATTACACCCTTCTAACAACTGGGAGAGCCAAGTTACTGTCCATTACCCAGTGACTCACAGGATAATTAATGCAGTAAAAACTCTGCCTGCAAATAAAAGAGTTTGCTGCACAACCACTGCAAACAGAAGAGAAGCTACTCAGCACCAGCCCAGACCGAACTGAGCCCTTTCCTTTATCCTTCCCAAGGCTGAGCTCTCTGGGAACAGCCTGCGTATGTGTGAGTGTGAGTGAGAAATATTTAACTATGAAAATTAGTAGTAAGGATCCTTTCTCTCTCCTAGCTACAGAACTCCCCTCTGCCTTAGCCCAGGGTGTAGACGCTCTGCACGCCTGTATTTACACATGCGTTTCTGCCAGGTGCGAGCCTATAATCCATGGATTAAATGTTCTTTACGTGACTCTGGAGTCCTTTTGTTAGCCAAACTTTTACTGACTGCAGAACTGTTCTTCCATGTGCTATTTTTTTTTTTCTTTTCAGAAACGGAATGGTATTTCCCCTGTTTAAAGGAGGCCAAAAGCTCACATGCTTGAAGCTGAACAGATTTAAAGATGAACTTTCCAGTTCAGTCAAGAAAAACAAACCCAGATCCTCCCTGCCCTCAAATTAGGCATGTTTTAAGTGATGGTCTTGGTGCTATTAGCTATGGTATTGCTGCAAAGAGAGGCAACTTTATTCTCACACATCCTTGTGCCTGAACCCCAGGGAAGGTCGCAACCTCTGGTTTTGCACAAGCAGGAGGAAGAAAGCTACTGGGGCGGGGGAGATCTCCTGTTTACAGTGTGTTTATCTTTAAAGAGATACTGTCAAGCATTTTTTCCTTGCTATTGTACAGAATTTGAGGAGCTAGAAAGGACCGTTTGTTCACAGGGACAACTTCAGCAGCTCTGCAGGATCCAGAGGGCTGCTTGAAAGCATATGAAATGGAGATCTCCACTGCCCTGGCATAGGAGAGAGACTTGGCTGCGATAAAGCCAACTATTTTCCCTGTTCCAGCAGGGTCGTGCCCTAGCACAGCCCCATTTTCCCCTCTGGCCTCTCTATGGTGGCTCTTGTTGATGCTGATGTCCCTCTTTTCAGATAGAAAACCCCCAAATCAGTTTGAAAAGACCTTCTCTAGATCCCTGTATCTTCCTTCTGGGAGCAAAATGCGGTGTGTAGAGGAGATGGTCTCTGCAGGGTCAGGTTGTGTCTCTGCATGGATATGCTGCAGCAAACCACCTCAGGCTTCACACCCTGCTGCTGTTGCAGGTTGTTTCTGATGCATGGTCCCAAGCCTTCCTCTGCCCATTGTCTTTTGGTGACAACTCTTCCCTCCTTGTCAGGGAGGTGCAGCTTTCCTTCCACCCCTTTCTGCCTACAAGCTAACTTGACGATTTATGTGCAATTCTGTGTGATCGAAATACAAGTATAACAAAAGCTTTTAACACTTAACTCCCCTGATCAAACAGCAGAGTCCAGGAGGCCTCACAGTTCCCCAGGGTTGGTTTTCTGTTTGTTTTCTGATTTAATTTCTTCCTGGCACAGTCAGCTTTGATGTTTTTTGCATATATTTGAGGCTGGTTAATGTTGGTCAAGAAGCAGAGCTAGGAGCCACAAAGCTTTCCTTGGACTTGCTACAGAATTCCTCTGTGGCCTTAGGCAAGTCACTCAATGTCTCTCTGTGCAGAGAGGGTGATTATTGACTAGAGGGCTGTACGGCCTACCGAAGCATGCCAGGGTTTGCAGGGGAGGGCGTGCTTTGTGTACAAAGTAGTATTTGTATTATTATAATTGTTGCTATATTATAATTTAAGGCAGGCCAAATGCAGGGTCCAACACTGCTCGGCAGAACCCTCCTTTCTGCAAAGCTACGAAAGCAATTTACATGCAAATGAGTTTGTCATTTTGTCTGAACTCAGAGGATCATCTTAAAATCCTGCTGTGAAAGAAAAAACTTTTAGGTATCTGCATGTGCCAGCCAGAGCCAATTCTGTGCTGTGGCAGACTGCATTCATCCGTGGGATCTCTTGGCCAGTTTTCCTTGTCCTGTTTAGCACTAAGCATCCCTTCTGCACTGTAGCTGTATATGGAGGGGACAGCGTGGGCAAGAAAGCAGCATGAAAATGTACCAGTCCAGCTTCAAAAATGACGTGCACAAGTGTCCCACCACCAGATAATGGACAAACAGACAATTGTGTCAGTTGGGAAAAAGGCAAGGGCAGCAACTACAGTTTTGTCCCAAAGCCATCCGCCAACAGTAGCCCCTGTACTGCTCTTGTATGAGCTTGCTGGGGGTGCCTGCAGCAGAGCTGGCCTGTTGCCACAATGCTGGCTGCTCTTCCTTGTTTCCAGATGCTAGCCCTCATTAAAAGGAGCTTAAAATCCACATCTTAGTGGAGAAGGGACATTTGGAAGGTCAATTGTTGCTGTTCTTGCAGAGATCAGCACGGGGCAGAGAGAAGTCCATCAGACCCTCTCTGGGCTCTGACACACATCTGGAAAGCTTAGGACCTCCTGCCCTATGAACTTGAGCCTTGACAGCGGGAATGTGGTGCTCTACCCAGGGAAAGTGCCTCCTCCAAGCTGGCTTATGCTCCAGTTCTGCTTTTCTAGTGTGTATGTTTTCCTCACCATATTTACTCACATCAGACGCTCTGAGTTGGTTTTCCAATGACTTCAGAGGGAGCATGCCAAATGGGTTTGAAAATCCACCCAGTATCCTTGTGTGTGCATTTTTGTTGCATGTCATGTATTTATATATAGTTCTGTGTATTTGAGTTATGAACAGGTGGAATGCCAGAAATCTCTATTTCTGAGACACTTTCTCACAGGTCTTTCCTGGTAGCCAAATAACAATCGAGGGGAAGGTTTGAAGGGAAGGAAATGAAATCTTCCTATTTAGTTACAGGGAAAAATATTAGACAAATAACTGCTAAAGCAGAAATCCCTGTCTTACTGTTAGACCAACTATAAGAGAGAAACTGGTGAAAGTCAGCCCTTGAGCTCCAAGGTTGGGTCTCTGCCTCTCAAGAGTTATCTAAGAATGAGAAAGTTGCATGTTAACTCAGCATTGTGAAGAGCTGTGCACCCACAGGACCTCCCCTCCCCTGATTCACATCCAGTTTGCAACTGTGCCAAAGGCTTACTCATTGGCAAGTAAATGAGATCTCGAGTTAGGATATTTTCATCTTGGAGAAAGAGGACATGCCTGTGTGTGAAGGGAATGGAAAAGAAACCTTTGTATTTTAGTCAGCAAGTAGTTTGAAAAAGGGAAGTAATTTCCATCACTATTATAAAGGCCACAATACTTTTCTAGCCCAAACTTGCTGAGATAGTAGGTCCACTGGTTCTTATTTTACTAGGTTGTGTAGAAGGTCTGAAGCAGGATTGAATGAAACCAAAATCTGTGAGGCTTGTGTTGGCTACAGATAGTGATCCATGTGGAAATGAGTGCAGTGTAGAGGCAGTGAGGACAGGTTTTCTCCCTCCCAGAGAAGTGTTGCGATGCAGGTTGATAGGGATATTTCCAAAGATAAGGAGCCTTATGGCAGACTCATGATGCCTTGAAAATCCAACATGTGACAGCAATTCTTAAACAAGAGAAGGCCCAAAAGCCAGGGATACTGTCCTTCCCAACTTGTGACTAAAAACAGCAGAAGGAATGTATAGTTTCAGTATTAAAGTATGTGAGATACAATCTGGGCAGAGCAGTCAGTCTAGTAGTTGGTGTGACCTACAGTGATATTTTCAGTGGCTTAGATAGGTGGTCCCTGCTGTGTATAATGTCTTTGAGGATGGTGATATATTGGTTTTACTGTACATAGATTTGCCAACAGTGATTTGAAATTCTATTCTGAAGCTCTTCACTTCAAATATTCAGTTGCTCTTGGATGGCTTTTGAAATGACACTGTCGGGTCATCAAGTGGTCTTTGAAGAAGTGGTGGGGGTTGTGTTGTTTTTTTATTTGCAACCAGCAGAAATATTTAGGGGGTGTAGCTTTAAAAGAAAAAAACAGTTGAAAGTGATGCTTGGCTTGGAGGGGGCAGATTGCTGGGGAGAGGTTGCATGGTGGGGGAGCAGGTTAGCAGCCTCCCTCCTGCAGCCACAGCTCAGGCTTGTTCCAGGCAGCACAGCCCTTACACATCTTGGGCGCTGCAAGGGGAGCTAGAAACCAAAGTGAGAATCATCAGGGCCTTGGTGCAGCTTGGGGTCCCTGCAGGCAAGTCCTCATTTCCATGCGAGGACTCACTAGGGTCCTGCATGGATGCAAGCAGCTGGTTCTGCACATCCCACTGCCTCTTCACGCTGGCCTGTAGCTGTTGCTGATGGTAGAGACTGCAAAATGGCTGCCTTAGCTGCATCTGAGGTTGAGTCAAAGATAGGGAGTGCCAGTGTGGCTGCTTTACTCTCATTTGTTATTCCAGCTAGTGTGGGGTGAGGAGTGGAGCTCGTGCTGTACTGCTCCTCATGAGAACCTCCAGGCTGGTCACTGAGCAAGCTTTATTACTCACCCACTGTCCGTTCCCTTTGTCAAATGTTCCCCCAGCTCCTCAGAGGAACCTTTCTCAGATGCTTCACTGGAAAATGCTTGGCTGACTGCGTGCTTCGCAGGATGCCGCGTTAGCGGATGGGTCAGCATAGGATCATGGCTACTCAGCAATTTATCTGACCTAAGAACTACTGCCTCATCCTAAGTAGGCATCTAGAATCCATTATCTGCTTTGCTAGCTTCTGTCTGGCCAGGGCAAGGCAGCACAATGTCAAGTGGTGAGAAGAGATCTGCAGACCTTCAGACCAGAGGAAACCCATGTGTCCTATTTTCCCCTCACCCAGGGCATGGCTTTGCACCCTGTGGCTTTGCTGTATAAAGTCTTGGGCTTCAGCCCTGCACCATCATAGCTAACTGAGGAGAGGGTCCAGCATCACAGAAGCCATTCCACCTCCTGGGAACTTGGTCCTCAACTTGACTGCTCTCTGTCTGTAGAGTATATATTGTGCCTTAATTCTCCCTCCGAGTGAAGCTGTGAGGGCAGATGAATTGTCAAGCAACCAGGAATCGCTTTCTGTGCATCTGTCCCTATCAATGAACACCAGCCTGTGCAGCCACCAGACTGTATCCAACAGTCTCAAAGTGCACACTTGCTGGTGGGCTTTCACCTCCCAACATTTTAAAGCTGGATTTAGATCTCTGGGACCATGGCAGTGTTTAATGAGCTCTGTAGCAACCTACTATTTTTATAACATTTTTTCTGTTGTGTGGTGTCTGCTTGTTCTCTTTTCTTTAAAAGAAGAAAAACAAACAACCTTGTGTTCCACTTGAGTCCAAAATTTCAAATGGAGAATAAGCCTGACATTGCAAATGTGTTTTAAACCCAACCCCACGCTGACCTGTCTCTCCCAGGCCATGAACCTGTTGT